GCAGCTCTGAAGTCCAACATCCATCTGAGAGATCTGGACTTGAGTGACAACTATCTGCAGGATTCAGGAGTGAAGCTGCTGAGAGATCTTCTGAAGAGTCCAGACTGCAGACTGAAGACACTCAGGTCAGTTCTCCATCTTTTACTTCTGTGCTGAGATGAAGAGAGTTGTAATAGGATTGACGTGGGAAGGTTGCTTACGTATAGGACAAAGCAAATAAATACGCACAGACATTTTCCGATTCATAAAAGACTGCGTGCCGGCGCAGGACTTGCGTACGGCACATCCTACGCCTGTTTCCCTTTATAAATCACAATCGACTCGAAATGCGGCGCAGCTTTTGCGGGCTTCAGGTAACGCCCATACTGTATTTGCCTATAAATAGTCAAAGAAACGCCCATTCATTCATTCATGTTGACTGACTGCATGAAGAAGATCGCAGGAAATGAGGACAGAACAGCTAAAAAAGACATCTCACACCGTGTCAGATTTAGGTTATTTTGGGGAGGGCGAGATAGATAGATAGATAGATAGATAGATAGATAGATAGATAGATAGATAGATAGATAGATAGATAGATAGATAGATAGATAGATAGATAGATAGAGATAGATAGATAGATAGATAGATAGTACTTTATTGATCCCAAATTGGGAAATTGTTGTTGTTACAGCAGCATAAAAGGCATGTTACAATAAAACAAAACTACAAAATATACAAGAATAGAAAGAAAAATAAAATAAAATATACATGTCGAAATAGAAAATATACATGCAGATATTATATATATATACAAATATATATATATATTCAAAATATATGGAATATGGAGTATAAATATTGAACAGATTATAGAGTAAAATGTACAACGTGGTTTTATTCCAAGAGAAACTATGGAGCAGAGAGTTCTCTTCCAGCCAGAGGTGATTTATTGTACAGTATTATAGCAGTGGGCAGGAATGTTTTCCTGTATCTGTCCTTGTGACAGGGGAGCTGCAGCAGTCTGTTGGAGAAGGAGCTCCGTTGACTGTCCAGCTGCAGGTGGAGAGGATGTGTGGGGTTATCCATGATGGACAACAGCCTGTTCAGTGTCCTCCTCTCCATCACAGCTTCAAAGGGGTCCAGCTTGATGCCGATGACTGACCCAGCTTTCCTGATCAGTTTATTGATCCTGCTGGTGTCACCGGCTCTGATGCTGCCCCCCCAGCAGACCGCAGCAAAGAAGAGTGCACTAGCCACAACAGACTGATAGAAGATCTCCAGCATCTTACTGCATACGTTGAAGGATCTCAGCTTCCTCAGAAAATAGAGTCGGCTCATCCCCTTCTTGTGCACAGCGTCAGTGTTGATCCTCCAGTTCAGGCCATTGTCTAAGTGCACTCCCAGGTACTTGTAGACCTCCACAACTGCCACATCCTCTCCTATAACGCACAGGGGCAGAGGAGGAGATGTCCTCTTCCTCCTGAAATCAATGACCATCTCTCTGGTCTTGGCCACATTCAGAAGCAGATGATTTCTTCCAGTCCACTCAACAAAATCACCCACCAGCGCTCTGTACTCCTCCTCCCGTCCATCCCCTATACACCCTACCACTGCAGAGTCATCCAAAAACTTCTGCAGGTGGCATGACTCTGAGTTGTATTGAAAATCAGAGGTGTATAAGGTGAACAGGATGAATAAATCATATTGTTTGGTTAATGCAGTTTGAACCAGAGTAGCAGCATGGAGGTCGGATCGTCACCAAAATAAATAAATAAGTGGTCCGAAAAAAGTTAATGACAAAAAAAATACACATAACCTTCCTCAGGCAGTGTGTTTGTCCCGGGAACAGGAGACACCCCCTTGATGAGAAACTGTATGACATGATCGGGGAATCCCTCCGGAGTGGAGTCATGACGACTGGATCTGAATTATTTTGTTGTATTTGGTGGTTTGTGTTCCAGCTGTCGATCAGCAACTATATATCCATAATCCACCAGTTAAAGGAAATACAACTAATGTGTTGTGTTATATTAGCTGTACAATTTACCACATATGGTGTTCTTAGTTTCCATACCTCCTGTGTTTTACGAGCGACTTATCAAGTAGGCTATTGGCGAACGGCATAAAATACAATTAAACATGATAGTATATAAAACCATGCTCGTATCTACAACCTATAGAAATGCAAAACGGCGTCAGTTTAGACGTAATTCTGTCCTCCTGCTTACCGCATCATTTATGAGAAAACATTTCTTAACAAGAGAACATCATCGAGGGGTGATCAATAACATTTCCGTATATATTTATTTCTCCAAGTTGTGTTTTTGTGTGCACTGAGAGTCTCAAACAGGCGTTTGTTTAATCATTTTAAGATTGGCTTTAATCAATGTTTGAAAATGAATTCTTCATATTTGATAAATGAGAGGTAACATTTTATTTATGGTATTATTTCCACATATTTCTCTCCATTCTTCTGCCAACGGTGTCGCAGTCGCAGTCGTCTCTCCCGTTTTTGTGCTTAGTGCGTACGCATGGGTTAGAGTTTGCGTGGAGGACCGCACATTTTCCCGACAAGTTTGTTTTTTATAAATCGCAAACATTGCGTAGAAAATGGCGTACGCCATCTTTTGAGCGTACGCACCGTTTATAAATGAGGCTCCTGATCAGATTATTAAACCTGGAGTTTTTTCAAACAGGAACATTGTTTTCTAAAGTTACATCATGTTTTCTTTATTCAGACTGGATAGCTGCAGGTTGTCAAAGATCAGCTGTTCTGCTCTGGCCTCAGCTCTGAAGTCTAACATCCATCTGAGAGATCTGGACCTGGGTCAGAACGATCTGAAGGATTCAGGAGTGGAGCTGCTGAGAGATCTTCTGGAGAGTCCAAACTGCAGACTGGAGACTCTCAGGTCAGTTCTCCATATTTTACTTCTGTGCTTAAAACTCCTAAACATCAAATGTTTTATTATTATTATTATTATTATTTTATTAGTCAATTTATTGAACATGTTTAAAAAAACTAAATAAAACAAACAGAATTGTTTTATTTATTAAAAAGAAGCAAAATAACAAAATACTTTTCAAGGCACACAAATAAATACTTAAGTAGTTTCCTTCATGTTCAAAAGGGGCAAGAAGAAGAAGCTTCTAAACGTTTCTGGTCCTTCCCCTCAAGCATACATTGTTCATGAAAATAAAAGTTCAGTTCTGTACGAGGACTCAATAGCCGCGTTCACACCGAAGTACTTTTCAGCGTACTTGTCGCGTTTAGTTTCGTTAGTACCCTTTATGTCACGTTCACACCAAAAAGAGCACTTAAACATTCCCAGATGCTGGTCTTAGGCAGGTCTTAGGCAGGAAGCTGTAAACTGAAGTCCTATCTGGAGTGCTACTGGAGTGTTATTTTCGGTCCTGTATTTGTTTTTCCAGGTATAACATTTCATTGAAGTTATAATTATAATCCTAACAATAATAATAATTGATGGATTCATTTCATTATGGTATTTGAGCTTGTTTCAGATCAACTTTTGTATTGGATATTGTTATTTAATTTGTCCAACAGAAGAGACACAAATCACTAAAAGATGAGTTAGTTATGCTACCCGTATTTTTAAATATCTTAAATATTTGACGTGCTGTGGGTCTACCACACATGCATCAAAAACCACAAGTAAGAACTGTAAGTTGTTATTTCAAAACATTATTATTGAATTTGTAAGTATATTTCACACACTTTAATGTTTTTATAGAGTATGATCTCCTCATTCGTTTAAGAGATTTATATATTTTATTCATATTGAAGCACTTTAAACATTTAATGCCTCTGATCCTCCTTTAACGGTAAGATCAGCTGCAGTGAGCCGAGGCTGTGCAGCTGGGGGCGGAGCTTTGATGCGCGAGGAGTGAAAACACTTCCGCGTAGTCTACTCTCGTGTATCCTCGCTCTCGTCTCCTCTGGGAGCCTCCTCCCTCCCCCCTCCTCGACTCCTCCGTGTGCATTCAAGAGATTGGGACGTCCTTCAACATGGCCTGTCTTGATCGATTTCTGGGTCAAGTCCCGAGGAGGGGAGGAGAGAGGAGTCGAGGAGGGACATTGAAGGCTTCTCAACTTTCTAATTTCCCTCCTCGACTCCTCGACTCCTCGGTCCTCCGGAAGTGACCCAGAAATGGATTTCAGCCATTTTAGCCGTGATATAATGAGCGTATACCACGGGTAGAATTGTAGTTACTTTTCACAACAAGTCAGTATCCCTCCGCATCTGAGAAAAGCTACAACCATTACAACTGTTACATTACGCCCGTTTTGAAACTAACTAACTAACAAAGCTCAAAGGTCTTCTTTGTTATTTATTGAGCTTTAAAACAAATGAATAACGACTCTATATAATAATAAAATATACGGAGCCTCTCTTTTTCCTCCCTCTCTTCTGACAGTGTCAGTGTCTGTCTCATGCAGCAGCTGATCCAGTAATGAGTGACCCGACAGTAAAAATAAACATATTTATAACTAGTTTAGGTAGTTTGAGAGGTAATTAAAATAGCTAAGGGTGATAATCTGACTTGAAGTGTGTGTTTTGCTCCCGCTGCATCACAGCGGGAGGAGCTGCGTGTCTCCGTCCTGTCAGATTAGACTTCACACGCGTTTATGTCCATATTGAGATAAAGATAAATAATCTGAATTCAGTGTGCAGTGTACTTTGACGCCGAGGTGAGCAGCAGAGGTGGGGGGAGGCGGGGCTATTGCGTCATCATTATCACAAAATTATCGTATAGGTCCTACACACGGAGCCGTTGGACCCCCCAGAGCGCTCCGTTCCCAGATCTATCCACCTTTGGACCCGTTATCGTTTGCAGGGTCCGTTTTTATCATTTAGTTACGGCCTCGTGTGGCAAAAAGGGCTATACGCAAGAGAAATATGCGGATACAACCCGTTTTCGTCCTCGTGGGGCACCAGCCTTAGATGAACCTTAAATACACAGGGGAGGGATGAACGGGGCACAGGTGAGGCTAATTAGGGATGGTAAGCAGGTGGAGTTCAATCAAGGTCAGGGAATGCTGACACTGAAATGAGAGAAGAGAAACAAAATAAAACAGGAATAATAACAAAACATCAACTTGCTGGCTAGGACCTTACAAGTTCATCGTCATCAGCATCCGTGATATTTAATACGTTTTTTCTTCCAAATTCCTCCTGAAATATTTGTGATCTTTGTAAACGTTGTGATCTTGAGTTGAATCAGTTCCTGTGGGTTTGATTGGTCTGGCTGCACATCATGAGTTTGTGTAGATGGAGCAGAGTTTCAGATGTGAAGTCACCTCTTTATTATTGAAGGAGAAGCACGTTGTCTTTAATATTAATGAGAGATCTTTTCACTTTTTGTCTCTTACAGTTTTTACCTGTTTGGAGTTTCCACTTTCTAACCTTCTTCAGCTCTGAACAGATTATTAAACCTGGAGTTATTTCAAACAGGAACATTGTTTTCTAAAGTTACATCATGTTTTCTTTATTCAGTCTGAGGAGCTGCAGTTTGTCAGAGATCAGCTGTTCTGCTCTGGCCTCAGCTCTGAAATCCAACATCCATCTGAGAGATCTGGACCTGAGTGAGAACGATCTGCAGGATTCAAGAGAGAAGCTGCTGAGAGATCTTCTGGAGAAGCCAGACTGCAGACTGGAGACTCTCCGGTCAGTAAGGGGTCTCTGCTGGTTCAGCAGTATTGTATTAAACACAGGGAGGTGTTTCTCTCACTGGGGAATCACAACAGATCAGTGATGTTACCCACTGACTGCAGGCTCTTTCATTCTTCCATCAACTATAGAAGGCCCGCTGAACCTGCAAAGCCAAACTTTAATAATCAACTTTCTAACAGACATATGGGATTTTACAGAAGAGTGGAAAAGGTAGTCAGTTTTTTATGGGATGTTTCTAGTTTCTAATGACTGGTTACTTCCTGTAATGCAGCTGAGAGCTGTGGCAGTCAGTCGTAGTGTTTGCAGAGAAGATATGGTGGGATGTAAAGCATGAGATCAGGACTCTGAAGCTGACTCAAAGAAAAAACACTTATTTTAAACTGGATCTTAAACTATTGGATTTTGTTCATCCCTACAGGATCAGAAATAATGAGACGTTCAGAGCCAAGATCCAGAAGACTTGTGAGTACTGAAACCATATCCTCCATTCGTCAAGATATTGTACATTAAATCTGATCTTAAAAGGTCTTTAAAGTACAACGACAATATATTTTAATTCCATTTTGTTACAGCTCTATTCAATCATTTTGGCTGCTAATATTTTTCTTTGTTCAACTTTAATTATTATTTCTCTGTCTCCTCTTCTCTCCATCAGGTGACTCCGATGTGAAACAGGAAGTGAAGACAGACAGAAAGGTGAGAGAGGAGCAGTTGAACAGAGTGAAGTGTATATATTTCACCACTGAATTAAAATATAATTGTTTGGGCTGTCGAGTTAAACGCTATAATGCTCGCAATTGATCTAAATGATTCAGGTATTCGATTATGAGTTAAGAATATTTCTATTTAATTAGTGTTTGTTTCTTTTTTTTAATGGGAGGTGTGCCTAAGAGGGTTACATATCACCAAGTTGATGCAATAAATGTATATGACGATGCCATTTAAAATATCTGGATCCCCGACAAAATGGGAAATATTCCTACTGGCTGGTAGTTCTGTTCTGTGATTGGCTGGTAATACTGTGCTGTGATTTGCCAGTAATACTGTTCTGTGATTGGCTGGTAATACTGTGCTGTGATTGGCTGGTAATACTGTGCTGTGATTGGCTGGTAATACTGTGCTGTGATTGGCTGGTAATACTGTGCTGTGATTGGCTGGTAATACTGTGCTGTGATTGGCTGGTACTTCTGTTCTGTGATTGCCTGGTAATACTGTTCTGTGATTGGCTGATAATACCGTTCTGTGATTGTCTGATAATACCAATCTGTGATTGGCTGGTAATACTGTACTGTGATTGGCTGGTAATAATGTGCTGTGATTGGCTGGTAATACTGTGCTGTGATTGGCTGGTAATACTGTGCTGTGATTGGCTGGTAATACTGTGCTGTGATTGGCTGGTAATACTGAGCTGTGATGGCTGGTAATACTGTGCTGTGATTGGCTGGTAATACTGTGCTGTGATTTGCCAGTAATACTGTTCTGTGATTGGCTGGTAATACTGTACTGTGATTGGCTGGTACTACTGTGCTGTGATTGGCTAGTAATATTGTGCTGTGATTTGCCAGTAATACTGCTCTGTGATTGGCTGGTAATACTGTTCTCTGATTGGCTGGTAATACTATTCTGGGATTTGCTGGTAATACTGTGCTGTTATTGGCTGGTAATACTGTGTTTCGATTGGCTGGTAATACTGTGTTTTGACCGTTTGAAATTGACAATGAACTCAGATGATCCAAACTAATTTGCATTTTTCAAATAATAAATAAATAACTTTGTTTGTTCCAGGCTGCTGAATCCTTCTCACCTGAACACACAACTGGATCTTCATACAGGTAATGCTATAACATGACCAAACATTATTTAAACACATTCAAAATATATATTTATTTTATTGTGTTTAATTTCATCTCTTTCACCATGACGTATTGCATCCAATCTCTTCCTAACAGACATAAATAAATGTGTATAGGATTGTTTACTTGTATCTAGATTCTCGCTGGATAGATATTTAGTTAATTTAATGAAAGTTTGTGTACACACACATTCTGATGCATGTGGGCACATCTTCAGTGATGTTCCTGTAATCATCAGGTGTTTCAGATCTTTCAACAAACCCTCTTCCAGGTCAGACTCCAGCTGGATGAACACCTGTCAGTCAGAACACAGGCCAGTGAAGGCTTGTTGTAGTAACCTGTCCCCTGTGTGTCTACAGGTTCAGGTGTCCTGGTCCAGGTGTGTTCCAGTGTGCTTCGACTGGCCTGGTGTTCGTCATGGCTCAGGAGGCGGAGCTTCTGTACAGGACGGTCCCTTGGGAGGAGAGCCGCCTCCAATCAGCTGGCAAGCAGCCAGCAGGGCCGCTGTTCGACGTGAAGAGTTCTGATGAAGCTGCAGTCTGCCAGCTCCACCTGCCACACAGTGAGACAGAAGATGGTAAAGACATCTAGTGTTAACAAATATACACTTGTATAATGTTTCTGTGGCAACTTTTAATATCCACTACCGCTCAAAGGTTATGAAGCAGCTTTATTAAACTAGTTTAACAAAGATAAAAACTGTATAATTCAGACACCAAATGTATTCTTTACATTCAAATAGTTCTGTCCCCAAAAGAAGAAAATTAGATTATAAAACGTTAATTTAGTCGATGTGTTGCATGACATTATGGATAATTATTGAAGCAGACGATGCAATGCAGCTTTAAATACTGAGTTGGATTGTCTTTGGGCCCTCTGCAGTCTCCTCACTGTAATATTAAAGAGATTTAAACTGTGATTGGTCAGTCCACAGCATGCTCAGCTGCTAACAGTGCTAACTCAACGCTAACTCTCTGTTACTGTTGTGATGCTAAGCTAGCAGTTTGATTAATTCTTACTTTGTTATCCATCTGTTGCTCTTTCTGCTCTTTACATTGTCAGTCTGGCTGAACCATGAACAAAACAAAACAACAGACAACAACATTTATAAGTTAGACTTTCTACGCCCTGAAAGCTTTAGAAAACTCTTCACACATCTAGAGAATCACTCAGACGTGAGACCGGCCACAGTCAAGCTGTTCTGACAAACAATTCAGCGTTCTTATAAATAAATAAATAATGAATAAAGTTTATGCATAACAGTAAATGCTCCCATCCAGAAAGATCACAGGGGGACAGAACAATAATGAAACATTACAATAAAAGGTGAAGGATATAAACTGGTACATCCCAGTGAGGCTCCAAAGTGAATGACATTAGATGAACATTACCTCTGAACTAAAGTGGTGGGACATTGAATATGATGAAGCTGTTTCAGCAGCAATGCAACAGATGACCAGCTCTTTGCTCCACAGCGCTGCTCCTGGACGGCCTGTTGTCTGTCGTCCACATCACTGATGAAGGCCAGAGCATCCTGGAGCCGCTGGAGGTCACACCCACTCACGTGGTGGTGAAGGTGCCTCACCTCTCTCTCTTTGGCCTGGTCTGGGATATCGTTAAAAGGGTTCTGTGTCTGCTGATAAAGGGCCAAGTTCTGGTGTTCCTTCAACCCCCGTTCGGAGAGGAGCAAATACTGGATGTATTTCTGCTGCCGAACAACGTCCCTGTGGAGGAGGTAAAGTCAGCTGCATACATGCTCACCATCAGACTAAACACTGGTTTCAAAGCTGTTTCCACACACACTGCTCTTCTTCTCAAACCTTCTCGTGCTGGGAGAAGATTAAGATCTATCAGGGGCCTCGTTTATAACGCCTTGCGTAGGATTGACGTGGGAAGGTTGCTTACGTAGTACAAAGCAAACAAATAGGTACAGAGATGTTCCGACATTTTCCGATTTACAAAACATTGCGTACCGGTGAGGGAAGTGCGCACCGGCACTTCCTACGCCTGTTTCCCTTTATAAATCACAATCGACTCGTAACGCCCATATTTGCCTATAAATAGTCAAAGAAACGCCCATTCATTCATTCATGTTGAATGACTGCATGAAGAAGATCGCAGGAAATGACGACAGAACAGCTAAAAAAGACATCTCACACCGTGTCAGATTTAGGTTATTTTGGGAAGGTCGAAATAAATCATATTGTTTGGTGGATGCAGTTTGAACCAGAGTAGCAGCATGGAGGTCGGATCGTCACCAAAATAAATAAATAAGTGGTCCGAAAAAAGTTAATGACAAAAAAAATACACATAACCTTCCTCAGGCAGTGTGTTTGTACCGGGGACAGGAGACACCCCCCCATCTAAGAAATGATCGGGGAATCCCTCCGGAGTGGAGTCATGACGACTGGATCTGAATTTACTTTTTTGTATTTGGTGGTTTGTGTTCCAGCTGTCGATCAGCAACTATATATCCATAATCCACCAGTTAAAGGAAATACAACTAATGGGTTGTGTTATATTAGCTGTACAATTTACCACATATGGTGACTGGCAGCATGACGGCCTGGTACGGCAGCTGCACCGACCTCGATCGTAAGGCTTTACAGAGGGTGGTGAAAACTGCACAGCACATCACCAGGACGGAGCTGCCATCCATGGAGGACCTTTACTCCCAGCGGCTCAGGAAGAAATCACTACGGATTATCAAAGACCCCCATCACCCCAGCCACAAACTGTTCTTTCTGTTGCCGTCTGGCAGATGTTACCGCAGCATCCTGGCAAGGACAAGAAGATTCGGAGACAGTTTCTTCCCGCGGGCAGTGAGACTGTTAAACAATTGAACTGTTGAAACAACATCAAACATTCAACTGCTACTCAGTAGTATGTATCTAATACCTAATATATATATATCATTCCAATAACTTGTATATAGACTCATACTGCACTATTCCACATCATAACTTTATTTCATTTGTATAACTATTATTCTTTTTGTATTGCTCTTGCTCTTATTGTTATTATGTTATTATGTTGCATTGTTGGAGAAGCCTGTGACATAAGATTTTCAACTACATAATTACTCTGTAGTTATGTCAGATTGACAATAAAGAACCTTGCTTGCCTTGCTTAGTTTCCATACCTCCTGTGTTTTACGAGCGATTTATCAAGTCTTGGCAAACGGCATAAAACACGATTAAACGTGATAGTATATAAAACCATGCTCGACCTATAGAAATGCAAAACGGCGTCAGTTTAGACGTAATTCTGTCCTGCTTACCGCATCATTTATGAGAAAACATTTCATAACATTAACACAACATATTCGAAGTGGTTTTAAATAATATATCCGTATTTATTTATTTCTCCAAGTTGTTTTTGTGTGCACTGAGGAGTCTCAAACAGGCGTTTGTTTAATCATTTTAAGATTGGCTTTAATCAATGTTTGAAAATGAATTCTTCATATTTGATAAATGAGAGGTAACATTTTATTTATGGTATTATTTCCACATATTTCTCTCCATTCTTCCTTCTGCCAACGGTGTTGCAGTTTCTCGTCTCTCCCGTTTGTGTGCTTAGTGCGTACGCATGGGTTAGAGTTTGCGTGGAGGACCGCACATTTTCCCGTCAAGTTAGAATTTTATAAATCGCAAACATTGCGTAGAAACTGGCGTACGCAATTTTTTGAGCGTATATCCCTTTATAAATGAGGCCCCTGAACAGTAAATCTTCAGATCGATCTTTGTGGTTTTGTATGATTCTCTCTCAGCATGTCTTTCTGTCTGCGGAAACTGATGGCATGATTGGTAAACACATCACACAGAACCGAAAGACCTGCTGAGATGAATCACTGCCAAGACCATGTGATCTCATCCCTACCAGCCACATTTTACAGCTTGGGCAGCAGCCTTTTGTGTTGTATAACAACACAGTCTCACGGCATTTCGTGTTATAGTCAAGAAATTAATCTATTGATTCGTGTTCACCAACACGATTTCGCCATTTTTTTCGTGTCACACAGAACGATTTTAAAAGCAATGTAAATAATAACAAATTAGAAGGAAAAAGCAATGTATTTATATTGGTAGTATGTTTCGTGCCTGCACCAAATAATAACAAATTAGAAGGAAAAAAAAATGACATAAAATACAGATTTCAGTATTCTGAGGCTCTGAGCCCCATTTCTTTTCCTCACTGACGGCAAAAAAACTCAGACATTATACAATTTAAAATAAAAGGGATAATGTTAGGCTTAGGGTAAGATATTGAGTAAGAACATGTTTTTATGAACCACACAGCTTCTGGTCTTCCAAGACCCGACCGGACAAAAAGACGTGTTGCAGGCACGAAACATACTACCAATAGAAATACATTGCATTTAAAATCGTTCTGTGTGACACGAAAAAAAGGTGAAAATCGTGTTGGTGAACACGAATCAATAGATTAAATTAATTTCGTGACTAATAACACGAAATGGCGTGAGACTGGGTTGTGTATAACTGACACATACAGTTTGTGATTGGTTAACGTTGTGACACGATACTCAGAGACACTCTGTCCTGTTACAGCTCAGGATCAGGTTTAGGTAACAAAACTACTTGTGCAGGCATACAAAAAAAGATCATGGTTTGGATTAATGTGACATTGTGAATACAAATAACTCAGCTTTTCTTTAAAGGGGACCTATCATGCAAAATGCACTTTTGTACGTCTTTTATACATGAATATGTGTCCCCGATGTTCCAGGGAACTCACCAAGTGTCAGAAAACACAACCCTCTCTATTTTCCTCCATACCCAAATCTCTAAAAAAGGGGCTGCAACGGATCTGATAAAAACTGATCCAGATTTGAACACTGTCCTGACGTCAGGACAGTGGCGCTACGGCTATTGGGCCAACTCCACCAATCAGGAGGAGACAGCCACGGCCATTGCCGTTCGAAAGCGCTGGAGACGCTGTAGTACATATACCAGGCCTGTAGGTGGTGCTGTTCTCACAGAATCAGCCATTGCAAAAACAGAGCTAAAACATTTCAAAATGAGCGAAATGAGGCATGGCTAAAATGCATGATCTGTTTGGTATTTTGAAGGAAAAAAAAGTATAAATATGCCTTATATAGGTATGGTCCTACACTATATTATTCAAATATAGCATGATAGGTCCACTTTAAATAAAGTAGCCTTGACTATCTGAGAATAACTAAAGTTAACCTGTTACTGAAGGTTGCTGATAAACACAGCTGTGCTGTGAACATCACAAACTCCTCCGACTGTGAGCTGGACATTCATCACAGTTACAGTGTGCACTGTGAACCCGAGGGCTTCTACATTCAGCCTGAGGTGAGTCACTGATACTCCTCTGATGAAACACAATGATCATTAACACACATTTATCTGCATGTGGATTCACAATCAGGAAAGAAACAGATAAACGTTTAACTTCTGCTTCTGGTTTTCAGAGTAAAACATTTGATTCCAGGTTTGGACCAAACTACCATCCGACATTTCAAGTTACCCTGATGACGAGCACAAAGAGAGTGGTTTTGAGGGTCAAGGACCAAGGTGGAAATGAAGTCTGGTATTGTCGCGTGTCACTGGAAGGTAAAGACTCCATCTGATGTCATGTTACATATTATAACTTTAATCTTTTTGTGAACGAATATCCACCCCTGGAAATGTCGAGTTACTTTAATTTTTAATGTGATTGTTGGTTATTCAACAAAAGTATTTTCCCTGTTTATCTACCAGGTCCAAGGCATGCATTGTCCCAGGGAAATGTCCCAGCAGAGAGCAGCGTCCCAGCAGAGAGCAGAGTCCCAGCAGAGAGCAGCGTCCCAGCAGAGAGCAGCGTCCCAGCAGAGAGCAGAGTCCCAGCAAAGAGAAGAGTCCCAGCAGAGAGCAGAGTCCCAGCTGAGAGCAGATACCCAGCAGAGAGCAGCGTCCCAGCAGAGAGCAGCGTCCCAGCAGAGAGCAGAGTCCCAGCAGAGAGCAGAGTCCCAGCAGAGAGCAGAGTCCCAGCAGAGAGCAGCGTCCCAGCAGACCAGTGGCTGTTCTCAGTTCGGACAGAGTTCATCAAAAGAGTGTCTCAAACTGTGCTGAACGTCCTTCTGGATAAACTCTTTGCGTCTGGAGTGATCAGTGAATCTGAAATGAAGTCAGCCAGAAACAAACCCCAAGATGACGGAGCACGAGAGGTGGTGGACGTGGTGCGAAATAAAGGAGCTGCAGCCAGCAGGGTTCTGATCAATTCTCTCCGAGAGGAAGACCTGTTTCTTTACAGAGAGCTCAACTTAAGCTGAGGCAAAACCTTGTGGACTGCGTGTGACAGTTGAAGTCTATTCCTGTGTTTTGTTGCCTGTAACTATTTCCCCTTGTCCTTGAAGGTAACACAGATTCTGAGTGAAGGCTACTTTCTTTCTCTCGTTTCTCCTGGACTCCCTCCTGAGAGCAGCTAACCGGGCTTGTTCTTGTTTTACCAATTGGTTCTGACTTCTGGGTTAGATTTGGGATTTTGGGACCTTTGGTACCTCGGCGTGTGATTGGGAGTTCTGTTTGTTTTGTGTGATCAAACTGCAAAGACCTGTACCTGTTGGGGACTGGACGTATAATATTCTTAGATGGTGAATTAAACCTACGTGGTAATAGTGAACAACCTTTTTTCCCAAAGTATAACGAAAACAAGTCCATGCTTTGGATGTCTTTTAACCTGACTGTTCTTTCACCTACACTATTTCTATTCAAATCTATCGTGCTCTGTTTCATTGCACTATTTTTATTGTTGTGTTATTTCTGTATTTGTTGTCTTATGTCCTTTATATAATATGTTGCATTGTTGGAGGAGCTCGGGACCTAAGATTTTTATTGCCATAACTACACTGTAGATGCTGTGCACATGATAATATATAACAAGGGGTGCACATAACTGGTACGCAGGTACGCATGCGCGGCAACAATCTGAAATGCGTACCGTAACTTGTGTCACAAAGCGCATTTGCGTACCGACGTACTTGTGAAGCTTTTCCAGAAGGCGGTTAGATCACCGGACGACAGAGTCAGTCTCCGTGTGCACAGACAGGGCTGCTGTTAATGTCGGTCTGTACAGCAGACTGCGCTAAAACAGCTGATCACAACGTTCACACGCTCCGCGGTCACGAAGCGCTGATATTTTAGTGCTAACAGTGACAGGTGCAGGAATGTCGTATTTCTGTGTTGGTCCCTGAAGGCAGCATCTCCCTGCTCCAACGTTGACATAAACATCTTTCTCAGCTCATGAATCCATGAATTGGTAAAATACATCTTTGTCTTATAAACGTCCCAGGTCCCCTACAATCTGCACTGCTTCTTCCAATGTAATAATAAATCTAAAAACTTCATGTAATTGTATTATTTTATTTTTATTTTATTTAAACAGAACAAGATGTATATTTAAATCCTCTAAGCTCTTCATGATTACCATTAAAACCTAAAACTCATCAAACATCTTAAAGAACTGAAACTAATAACTGAAGCAGGAAAAGCATTTAGAGTTTAGAGTGAAGTATAGAGACAGCAGCTGCTCACACACACAGCCTGGATAAACACTGGGGCTGCAGTCCAATAGTCCAAAAATCAGCTCCTATCGTCTATTCCTATCGTCTATTCCTTGACCTCTGAGTGAAACGTCACAGTGTTAAGGAATAGTGGATAGGAGAATTCAAAAGGATTTAGGAGAAGAGACTGCGGTGCTTTGAGAATCCTGGGGTGCTTCTCAATGTCAAGGAAGGATCCTTCAGAGCCTCTATTTCAAGGATGCTACGTCATCGAATCCCGCCGAAGGACTGTTCCAATGTCCAGGATCCTTGGAATTCTACCGAGGACTGGGTCCTTCATTGCAGGAATTTTCGAGGCTGCTCATGTGTATCCTCGGCGGTCTTAAATTACCCACAATTCTTTGCACACAGACCAATTTCCAAAATCTTTGGTGGAAAATGGCTGAATCCAGACAGTACACATTTAAATGTAAGTATGTTCAGTGGCGTAGTAAATGTGCACATGGCTTGTGTTTAAAGTTTATAGTCCGTTTGAGTTTTGCCCGTGTGAACGCAAACCGAACCTTCTGAAAAATGAAACGATGGAACAAACTGTCGTCTGGTGCGCACAAGAGAAGTGACTATTAGGATTGAATGAGACCTTAGAGCGGTTTGCACATAAATAAAATGAACCTTGTTTTGACTTTGCCTCTTCTGTTGATATTTGTGGTTTATGCTACAATGTGCAACAATATGTGTAAAAAAGGTTTGCAGACATCAAGTATGATATATGAATAGAAATGTTATTATTGATTGGTGATGGTGATTTTATGATTTTCTTATGGCTGCTTTTCCTCCAGGACTTTTTCAAGGCTGCAAACAGAAGGAGAAAGTGTTATGTTAGTTTAGTGGTTCTGTCCTGGAGAGATGATCATTTCACAAAATACAGTTACTCAAGTACATCTTCGATCTCCGCAAATCAGTTATGAGTCTTCAAACAAATCACGCTCAATAAGGCAGGGCCTCTCATATGACGCACACCTGCACACCTGCTAGCCTGTTCCATTCTTCGTTCTCCGATGCTTGGAAGGATTCTTGCCTAGCCTCTGAAGGACCTGACTCTGAAGACATGTCCTACCAAGCGTCCTCGACTTTGAGAAACGGCTCGACTTTGAGAAACGGCTCGACTGCACTTTCACTATCGACGTATTTATGATGTGCAAGCGGACGTCATGAATGTGCGTCTGCTGTGGGGAAACGACAGTTTTCTATACAGCGGACAACATGGATGTTTAATAAGAACGACGGACTACTGTAAACTCATCTAGAGACTCTGCACCGTGCTCTGATGCTGTTGTTTTATGCTTTATGAACGTGGACAACAGAGAAAAATGTATTCTTCATGAACGAGGTTGTAATTGAAATAAAAAAGGAAAGTGAAACCCATGCTCGTCACCCTCTCCCTCCGGTCCACATTAATACAAATGATCCCAATACGTGATGATTGTATGAACTATGAAAATATCTTAAAATAAATACAAATGTATTTATTATAAACGTGTTAGTCCTTAACATCTATCACTGTGTATATCACCATTCAAACATATTTTAAACGTTTAACAAACCCCACACAGCTCAGTAAAGACTGTGAAATTATTACTTTATTTGATCATTTCAGTAAAAACTAACGTTCATATTTCTCTTTTTGATTATTATAGTGTTGAACGTTCAAACGAACGTTCAGACGTCGTGTAGTGTGTAGTAGTGTCTCTACTTTAAAGAGTCCTCTCCTGCTGATGTTCAGGTGTATATCAGTATGTAGTGTCTCTACTTTAAAGAGTCCTCTCCTGCTGATGTGCAGGTGTATATCAGTATGTAGTGTCTCTACTTTAAAGAGTCCTCTCCTGCTGATGTTCAGGTGTATATCAGTATGTAGTGTCTCTACTTTAAAGAGTCCTCTCCTGCTGATGTTCAGGTGTATATCAGTATGTAGTGTCTCTACTTTAAAGAGTCCTCTCCTGCTGATGTTCAGGTGTATATCAGTATGTAGTGTCTCTACTTTAAAGAGTCCTCTCCTGCTGATGTTCAGGTGTATATCAGTATGTAGTGTCTCTACTTTAAAGAGTCCTCTCCTGCTGATGTTCAGGTGTATATCAGTATGTAGTGTCTCTACTTTAAAGAGTCCTCTCCTGCTGATGTTCAGGTGTATATCAGTATTTAATGTCTCTACTTTAAAGAGTCCTCTCCAGCTGATGTTCAGGTATATATCAGTATGTAGTGTCTCTACTTTAAAGAGTCCTCTCCTGCTGATGTTCAGGTGTATATCAGTATGTAGTGTCTCTACTTTAAAGAGTCCTCTCCTGCTGATGTTCAGGTGTATATCAGTATGTAGTGTCTCTACTTTAAAGAGTCCTCTCCTGCTGATGTTCAGGTGTATATCAGTATGTCTCTACTTTAAAGAGTCCTCTGCTGCTGATGTTCAGGTGTATATCGGTATGTAGTGTCTATACTTTAAATAGTCCTCTCCTGCTGATTTTCAGGTGTATATCAGTATTTAGTGTCTCTACTTTAAAGAGTCCTCTTCAGCTGATGTTCAGGTATATATCAGTATTTAGTGTCTCTACTTTAAAGAGTCCTCTCCTGCTGATGTTCAGGTGTATATCAGTATGTAGTGTCTCTACTTTAAAGAGTCCTCTCCTGCTGATGTTCAGGTGTATATCAGTATGTAGTGTATCTACTTTAAAGAGTGCTCTCCTGCTGATGTTCAGGTGTATATCAGTATGTAGTGTCTCCACTTTAAAGAGTCCTCTCCTGCTGATGTTCAGGTGTATATCAGTATGTAATGTTCGAACCTTCACAGTCACTAGAGCTCAGTGGCGAGCCGTGAGCTTTATACCTAGGCCCTCTGACCCCCACCCCTTCCCTCGAAAAAAAGAAAAAAAAAGAGTTATTACGTCACAGCGTATACTTCAGCGGAATATCAAAACAACGGCCCAGGGTGCAAAACGCATCAATGACAGCGACCCTCTACCACACAAAACAACACCTGTGAACCCAATTTGTGTTCTTTGACATTGAAAATGATATTGCATTGTGTTTGTTACTTTCGTTGCAGTTGTATGTCTTAAGTGTAATTTGGCATGCTTTTATTTTGAAGACGAGTTCACGCTGTTGACAGGAAGTTGTTGTTGCTATGGAAACAAGACAAGTTTCACAGCGGGCGGAACTTGTCATCTAGTCCGCGATAATAAAACCCACCCATTTAGAGGGAAGATATGATTGGTCATATGAATTCTGGAGAGCATTTCCTCAGATCTCCAGAATAAACATGACCAAATAATGAATTAATCAAGACTTTACAAACACAATAAAAAGCTGTAGTGAGTTATATTTCTACAGGGGGAAGGAGGGGGGGTTAATGAAAACAGTAAATACATTTTGAGTTTTCCTAATAAAAGTTAAATGTGTAATTGCTGCAGCAAGAGAGATCAGGGAAGCTGGAAACATTACTTTAGTTTAGTTTAACGTTATAGAATCATAGAAGTATTGAGATTATTCTGTTGAGCTATTAGTTGTTATTCGGCTCACTGTATCCGCCTTGTCAGGAAGATATGTGCAAAACATGCGATTGGTTTATAAAGGATGAAAAGTTTGTAGAAATGCCAGAAAAATATGTGGAAAAATATTCAAAAAACGATGTTAAAAATGTCAGAAAATATTAGGGAAATGATCCCTAAAATCAGGATAAGAATATGAGAAAAATATCCTAAACATATGTGAAAAAGTACTGGGGACTATTTTCAGTGGTGGATGAATCCCACCTTTTTAGAGAGTGACCCCTCAGTAACAGGTGTTGATAAATCGTGATCTTCTCGCTCCCAGGAAAGAAACTTAAAATAATGAGACTAATGGAGTCTCTGAAAAGGTTCAAATGGGTACTTTAATTAAGTAACGTGGTTAAAGAACAAGCATAGGTAAGGAAGAGACAAAGCCGGTGTTGTCTCTCGGGAGGCTGCAGCGAAGAAAAGAGAGCGGGTTGTCCTCTCTCATCTCTTTTTATCCTCTTCTCCTTCTCTCCCGCTGTGCAGATAGTGGGACCTCCCTTCTCATCTGCTGGTTCGACATCGCGAGAGAACAGATGATTTCGACATTTTGTATTCCCTGCCTACTTCCTTAAGCCTTTTCTCCTCCTTATCTCTGTCATGACTTTCTATTTAATACCTTATAAACAGCTGTAATAGTTAGTTTAGAAGTCCTAGAAACACCGCTACGGCACAGTTCTCATTTACGGAAACTCCCTCTGACGTCATAGCTTCTCACGTATGTGTAAACACTACGATCAACTGTACCTTCATTTAATATTCAGCAGTAATAATATCTCGACGTCTATAGATGTAGTGTTAAAGTCCGTACGTTTTGGTGTGTAACACTCCAAGTCATTTTCACTTTACATTCAGAAAACACATTATGAGCCACATGCTAACTGCTAACCGGATATGAAGGATTTTCAGAATAAAAGCTTGGCATTGAGATTTCCTGAGAACTTCTGGGTTTTTCCACAATAAAACAGCTTTTAAACTGACGATATGTTTTAGACTGAATTATGCTATTTAAACATTGATTTTAATTTCTAACACAGGAAGCTGCAGAACAGGAAGTGAAAGTGCTGCAGAACTACAGTTGGCACACATCTGCTGACACTCCTGTTGCAACAGCAGTGTGTGTGTGTGTGTGTGTGTGTGTGTGTGTGTGTGTGTGTGTGTGTGTGTGTGTGTGTGTGTGTGTGTGTGTGTGTGTGTGTGTGTGTGTGTGTGTGTGTGTGTGTGTGTGTGTGTGGTTCTGAGTGTCGACAGAAAGAGGATGTTGTGGGGAGGCGGAGGAAAAAAATATTGGTCGACAAACTTCATCTGTGGTCAAAGTTCAGCAGCTCTCTGAGGAGGAGTAATCAGATTACTGCGGAAGGAGTAATCTGATGCTAGGACAAGTCCTGACACGTCTTTTTTAGCATTTCCTGTAAAATGTGTGAAAAATATCATTACAAATTTGAAAATTATTTCAAAAGATGTTAGAAACATCTACTTTCCAACCTACCTCTTCTCCTTTCCTTCTCTACCTTTCCCTCGTTACCTCATCGTTCCCATCTTCACCTCCCCCTTTCCTTCTACACCTCCTTCCTTCCATTCCTCACTCCCTGAAGGCTTCTCAATTCTCTCATTTCCCCTCCTTGACTCCCCTCCTCGACTCCTATCCTCGTGTCTTAGTCCCGCCCACAGGAGATGCGAGTGGAGGAGTCGAGGAGGGGAACCGAGGAGAGAGGAGGGGAAGCAGCAGGCGGTTAGAGAAATGAGAACTCCTCTCCTCTGAGCGGTCATTTTAAAGAGACGTCCATTAATGATGACAGGAGGCACAGCAGCCCTCTGTCTGATGGACAGATGTGTTCATGACCACTTATATATTTACTTTGACTTCATTGACAGTGCGGTATAATGAGACAATAACAGGCTACAGATGCGGACATAAACACACACACACACACACACACACACACACACACACACACACACACACACACACACACACACACACACCACACACACCATATATAGGTATATATATTTATATAAATATATACAACTTCAGAATCAAACAAGTATGAGAGCACTCTCATAATAACGTAACACTATCAGAGACTGGATATACCCCCCCCCCCCTCTCTGGTCGCTAGAATGAGGAAAATAAATTACGGGCCAAAAGTTTTATTTACAAGTATTAAAAGTAAGCATAGGACACCAAACCAACTGAGACCTGTCTGTCTGCCGCATCTACACACACACACACACACACACACACACACACACACACACACACACACACACACACACACACACACACACACTGTACCACACGCACCTACACACTGTACAACACACACACCTACACACTGTACCACACGCACCTACACACTGTACCACACGCACCTACACACTGTACCACACACACCTACACACTGTACCACACGCACCTACACACTGTACCACACGCACCTACACACTGTACCACACGCACCTACACACTGTACCACACACACACACATACACACTGTACCACACGCACCTACACACTGTACAACACACACCTACAGCTCCTAAAGCATATCATATCAGGCTACAGCCGTTGTGTACCGCGGTGAAGTTAGTTTTAGGTTGGATATTCGACGGACATTCGCGGACCCGCCAGCAGCGTCAGTTTCCCGGACCCGCCAGCAGCGTCAGTTTATTATGGAAAGCCCAATGTGCCATAATACGCATACATAGTTTTGCGTGAATCCGAGGTCCGTATGTTCGCGCGAACCTATGTGCGAACATACGGACCTCCCCGTATATTCGCACAAAACTACGCGCGAACTTTTGCGCGGTTTTTAATATGATAATGAGCCCCTCCTTCTGATTTCCTTAGCCAATGAGTTCAAAGTGTCTTCAACCAATCAGTGAAGGGTAAAGCCAGACCAAAGCAATCTGTAGATGAAAAGTTCCTGACATTGTGAGGCTGTGCTGTAAATTGTACATTATTCCAGATTCAGGGGACTAAGTATTAATTTGCCTATGAATATAATAAATATTTCACCTTCATTGTCTTTTAAAATAAAATCACATTACCCTTTTCCTTAACCCTCTGGAGTGTGAAGTGAAGGGTATTTTCTCAATTTTTAGATGTCTCCTTAAATCAACTTTTAAATGTACTTCTTATAACATGGCATGGTGTTACATGTCAAAATGTTCAGTACAGTCTCTGGTCTTGCTAGAAATGCAAAGTCACTCACCTTAGAGCGCTGTCTTATGAGATACTAAGCTTAGAAATCCGATTTTTGGAAAACTTCAAAACTGTTGTGACACAATGACTCATGTCATCCTTTTTTTTTGGTGTTTCAGATTTGGTTCACCAAAGTCTTTGGTTCACAAAAGTAGTGAAATATATGAATTACACTATAGGCCTATATACATGTGTTATTCATGTCTAAAATGAAAATGTGTAAATTAGAATTTGGAGTAAGTAAAATAGTTAGAAAGGCAGCAACGTTCCCTCTGCTTCATTCATATCTCCTGTTCAACAGGTTAGTAGTGTGTACAAAGATGATGTCATATTTCGATCTAAGAAGTGTGTTTGAAACTGTTCTTTATGTGTAGTTTAATGTCATTCTGTGAGCTAGTTCGGCTCCACTACAGTGGCTAATGGCGTCCGCTAGCTTCTTTACCACAGGCTATCGCTCCCTGAATAATGTAGGGCTAAAACCACTATGTTACTAGGTGTATGACTCCCGTGCACTAGTTTGGCTTACATTTCAAGTGTATTCTGCTTGTATAAATATGTGAAATGCTGGTCTGAGTTCATAGATGTTCATAGTATTGAAATGCTAATAGCGCTAATGCTATGCTAATATTGTGCCTATCAGTGTACAACAGAGCCAGGTTAAAGGGAGTACAGTCAACTGGGTTGTGTGTGTTATCACTGTATTATATACTGTAAATTAAGAAGGCTTTAATCCTCCATAAAAGTCATAATATGGCATGTGAATTTATTTCCATTTTTTATTAGAGACAAATACGTCATACAGTTATTTCGATTTGCTAAATGTAAAGGTATGTTTTTTTTCAGATTTCACAGCTGCCTGGGCAGTGGCCCACAGGCGACGTTTATCCAGCAGCCAGAACCTTCATCTGTGCCGGCCCCCAGGTCAAGATCTACCGTGGCTCAAAGACCTCCACCACAGCCATCACCACCAAGGACCAGAGGACCAGCATCACTACAGCAGCCTCCACCTCCATCTGTGCCTGCCACAAGATTAAGATACACCTCGGTACAAAAGCCTCCACCACAGCCATCACGATCAACCCAGCCAGCAAAGAAGTCTCGCCTAGCACACGTACCTCCCACACAGCCACCAGCATCAACCCGGGACAATCCCACCTACCTCCCTCCAACACAGCCACCAGCAGCCCATGCACCATCACCCCCACCTACACAGCAGCCAGCCCCACTGTCTTGGAAGACGGACAAAGACCATTACACTGCTCCCCTTGTCTTTACATGTATAATGAATAGTTGGTTGAGAAAGTTTTGATATTGTAAATATTGAAATTTTACAGTTTCTTATGTTAACATAAATAGTTGGTTGAAAAAAAAAGTTGTAATGCTCAATTTGTATTTGTACACATCACATGAACCTCAGTATGGAATATGAAGTCATGAATCAGTCCTGATGTAACTTTTCTGTGGTGAAAGTAGAGTGATAGAACTATTTTACTTACTCCAAATTCTAATTTACACATTTTCATTTTAGACATGAATAACACATTTATATAGGCCTATAGTGTAATTCATATATTTCACTACTTTTGTGAACCAAAGACTTTGGTGAACCAAATCTGAAACACCAAAAAAAAAGGATGACATGAGTCATTGTTTCACAACAGTTTTGAAGTTTTCCAAAAATCGGATTTCTAAGCTTAGTATCTCATAAGACAGTGCTCTAAGGTGAGTGACTTTGCATTTCTAGCAAGACCAGAGACTGTACTGAACATTTTGACAAGGTGATATGTGACAAGGTGTAAGGTGATATATTTATTATATTCAAAGGCAAATTAATACTTAGTCCCCTGATTCTGGAATAATGTACAATTTACAGCACAGCCTCACAATGTCAGGAACTTTTCATCTACAGATTGCTTTGGTCTGACTTTACCCCTCACTGATTGGTTGAAGACACTTTGAACTCATTGGCTAAGGAAATCAGAAGGAGGGGCTCATTATCATATTAAAAACCGCGCGAAAATACGCGCGAAAGTTTGCGCGTAGTTTCGCGCGAATATACGGACCTCCCCGTATATTCGCGCGAAACTATGTATGCGTATTATGGCACATTTGGCTTTCCAAAAGTAACTGACGCTGCTGGCTGGTCCGCGAATGTCCGTCGAATATCCAACCTAAAACTAACTTCACCGCGGTCCGTTGTGTATTTTATTTTGTGAAGCACTAAATGGTTTTAGAAAAATATCGACTCTTTGTTTGTAGATATCTACTAAACTAAAGCAAATAAAGAGAGTAGGCCTGTTATACTGAGTGATATATATGATACACACTGCTCTGCTTTCTGCACGGACCTCACAGCTGTTCTCACTGTAAACATTGCGTCGCGATGAAAGCAGTTAATAAAATAATATCCAGGGGATGCATGCAGAGCTGTCATTGGCTGAGATCAGTCCGGCCGGCCACTCTTTGAAACATCACTGTTGCCGGAAATACATCCGTGGAGCCCCCAGGAAGTGCGCCGGACTCTGATGAAAATATTCGTGCTGGCCAAACGGCGGTACTACACTTCCTTTTGGTTGCCAGGCCCGGAAACACTTTTTCCCATTGACTTAAATGGGGAAAGAGTGGTCTGTAACTCGTTGGATAATTTTTTTTAAACTAAATAAACTACCCAGTATGAACACTTGTATAGCCCTTATTAAAAACATTCGTTCCTCAAGTTGTAAAAATGTGCTAATAACGTTATTCTGAGAGTTATTTCCGTCTGTATTATGAACGCGCATCTAACCCACGGGACCGCGCCGCCCGGCACGTTCATGTGTGTGCGTTTATCTTTACCCATGGATATAAGAACGGACCCATATCGCCTTACTGCCAGCCCACGGAGCTGTAATAATGGATATATTGCACATGTTTGCTGTAATTCATCATTTGTAAAATATTATACTACATGGGCTGTATTATGTAAATCTTGTATTAAATAAAGTTAATATTACCGACGTAGATTAACGTCCCTGTAGCTTCTTATTGCACTTGCAATATACCATTAAAGGAGTTGAACGTTGCTGTTTGCTATTACTATAATACCACGCAGGGATAAACCAGAGTTTACAACCTTTGCATGTGGGCACAACACGTTTTGACCCAGATTAATTAGCTATACCATGATATCGCCCGAGGAAGTCGTCATACTTATACATATATAAATAAAGATATATGTGTCAAAGCTCTAATCAAATTAACAGTTGTATTAATTATACTTGTATATGTATATATATATATATATATATATATGTATATAGCCTGTGTTTTATATTTATACACACAAATGAACAACCTTGTGTGTGTCAAATAACAAGTTGTATTGTAGTGTTTATTTTAGTGTTGTGTTATGCTTATCCACATTTTGATTTCAGAGCACAGGAGAATGCTGGGCACAACATAAAGCTCAAAAGTGAAGCTGGCAATGCTGAACAAAACCATCTAGTTATAATATTTATTCAGCTGAAAAAGTCAAAGCTCTACGAAAATGTAATTAAAAATACATAAGCATTTTCAGGTAGAAAATCAGCATTTTATATAGAAATTCACAAAAATAAGAAATGTATACCTCTTATGGCTGGCATTGTAGAACTAGGTGGAAAAAATAGTGACAACAAATGTAAATACAATTTATATAGATTAAAAGGTAATATATATAATATTGATTGCAATTATTAGATTAAAAGATCCACCAATTATGATCAACAGGAAAGCCCTCTGAAGGCATGTTGTGGTTTGAAAAAAAGTTGAGGATGGGGTCCAGACAGTTAAATCAGGAGAGACTTCATTTTGTTTAAAGAACATTTATTGACACATGTCATATGATAAATGTTAAGTCTTTGGCGATTAGACCCCGATCCTGAAATCTTATATCTAAAGGGGGAAATGCAGCCGTGAGCATATAGGGAACCTCCCCGGGGTCTAGACACTGGTGATGATGATGAAGATCTGGATTTGATGAGGAGATGGGATGAAGAGGAGGTGTGATGAGGTCTTTGGATTAGCTCTCCTGGCTCTGGATATGATGAACGGAGGTGGGTGGAGAAGAGGTGGATGGGGAGGAGGTGGATGGGGAGGAGGCGGGCGGCAGCATGAACACCTGAAATCACAGCTGACTGCAGGAGAGAGGAGAACCATTTTAAAGTTTGGCTGCAGCTCGGTGATTGGCTGCTGGAGAATGAGGTGAATGTAATAGGTTAAAAAGAACGCCTGTGATGAGCTGATTATAAGCAGCTGCGGAGTGAATGTATACATACCCAGTCTTACTCTTGAGTTACCCACTCTTACTCTTGAGTTGTTTTACTCATCTTCCCCAGCCTCACCAGCCTCACCCAGCTGTGGTGTCTGTTCTCTTTCTTCTCAATTTTGGATGTGGCCCAGGAGGAAGCGCAGCCACTTCAAGACACTGGTACGGGCCTACGTGCTGATGACATGACCGTCATCGGCCAGATCACAGACGGCAACGAGACGGCGTACAGAGAGGAGGTCGAAAACCTGACATCTTGGTGCCAGGATAACAACCTCCATCTCAACGTCAGCAAAACCAAGGAGCTGATTGTGGATTACAGGAAGCAGCAGGGAGAGGGACACGCCCCCATCGCCATCAATGGGACTACGGTGGAGAGAGTCAGCAGCTTCAGGTTCCTCTGTGTCCATCACGGACACGGCTGCATCACGGCCTCGTACGGCAGCTGCACCGCCCTTAATCGTAAGGCTTTACAGAGGGTGGTGAAAACTGCACAGAACATCACCAGGACGGAGCTGCCATCCATGGAGGAGCTTTACTCCCAGCGGCTCAGGAAGAAAGCCCTCAGTTTATGTTAATGTTAGAAATGTTTTGGCACATTTGTTCCTATTCTGCTAATGGTATATTGCAGGATATTTAAGTTTCCCATGTACTTTTTAAATTAATAATAGTATGTTCATCTTGATGTTTAACTTGTAATATTGTAATCATCTTAGTTAGAAATGCTGTTTCCACCCCAACCTCTGCTGCTGAATGATTTTATATATTGTTACTGAATGCGCTTGTCTTTGATATTATAATGATTACACCAGAAAGTCACTCTTTGTGAGATTTATTTTTTCACATTTTTCCCAGCCACAAGATGATTTCATTCATTGGAGGCCTCAAAGCTGGGTGAAGGTATTGATGCACGGATCAATGCAATCCTTTACAACAGCATTCCACTATGGTTGGGGATGTCTGTAAAAAAAAAGACAAGAAATAATCTTAAACAAAACAAGTGTCGCAATATAGGGAAACAAACTGTGACAAAAACATATAAATTAGTTCAGAATCAGAATACATTTACATTATTACAGCAGAAAAGAGCCAAAGACAGCCTAATGTTACTTAAAGTATGCATACAAAAAGTATTAAAGATTAAAAACAAGAAATTATAATAAAAACAGTTACACATTTTACAAAATACACATCCTGTAACAGTTTGGAGGATTTAGCAGCCAGGTATATTACACAGTTTTAGCGGCATATATATATATATACACATGGTTGGTATTTAACAACAAGGGGTGTTGTACTGTGTGATATTGGTATTTATGGAAACATTTTACACCTTTCCTTTAAGTATTATACGTTTTAGTTACTTGTTGGGTACTTAACATGAATAATCACAGTTACTATCCTTTTACTCCATCACATTTCAAAGAGAAATAGGCTATTGTTATTTTAACTCCACCACAGTAATCCATCATCAGCTTTACTTTTTAGATAAAGATTTAAATCACAATTGATCATAACTCAACATACATATATTTTTATATATTACCAAGTGGTTTCATGTAGGCTACAACCCACACAAGTTTCATGCTAAATTAAGCTCTGTTGCTTGGATATCACTAGATCCTGTTACATCAGCGTAATATAAAAGTACATAACGACTGAGTAAATTAGTAACTGAGTAACGAATGTGTAAATTAGCATAATTACTAGCTAGCCGCTAGCTGCTAACTGCCGCCTCGTCGTTAATATCAAATCCATCATAACAATCCATTACCATGCTGTCATGAACGCGCGGTGCTGTTACGTGTACGCAAATTGACGTGCTTGATGTGAACGAGCATTTTGGGGGGCATGTTTAAAGTTGCGCATGTGCTATGGGCGCACATACGGGTACTTCTCAGGCATGCCGGGTAATCTGTGACGTTTCGCTCTCTCAAAAGTTGGGCCATTTTGTCATCATGCGCGAATGAGCAACTCTCATAGGAATGAATGAGGCCCCGCCTCCCACGCTGTATCCAGTTCTTATTATACATCCATGGTATCCTCGGTTATAGCTCCTCCAGAGAGCCTCCTCGACGCTCAACCCTCGGTCCTCGATGTGCATTTAGAGAAATGAGATGTCCTTCAACATGGCGCGCTGAAATCCATTTCCGGGTCACTACCGGAGGACAGAGGATTCGAGGAGTCGAGGAGGGGAAATTAGTTAAATGAGAAAGGGCCACTGTCATTCAGAATAAATATACTTTTTCTGGCAATATTATATCATTTCTTTTTTGTTTTTGAATCCATGAATTTATACAGAATATACACTTTCATGCATTTACACCAGGGCTGCACAATATGGGGGAAAAAAACCAATTGCAATTATTTTGACTGAATTGATTCTAGATATTCGAGAAAGGACTTGTATTACAATTGAACAATATAGACCAGCGGTTCCCAACCTGTGGGAAGGCATTGCAAGTGGGCCGCCACATTTCTTTGTTTTGTACAGGCTAAAGACAAAAACATGGACATAACAATAACATATAGATGACATTCCCATCTCTGACAACAGAAGAAATAAAGATGCAGTCAGTAGGATCACTTCAACATTTCACAAACACAAATAGGTTGACAACCACCAAAAACACAACATGGCATATTTATTGTTCCTTTAATCCCACATTTAGTTAGAGCTCATTATTTCCCATTTCATGGCGTGTTGAGCCTTTGATTTTTTGAGGCAATAATTTTTTTCAAAATAAATTGTATTTTTTATCTACATTACATTACTTGTTACTTGTTAGGCGCTTTTATCCAAAGCGACTTACATACTCAATACTGTGGACAAGCCCCACAGGAGCAATTTGGGGTGAAGTGTCTCAGGGACACAACGACACCCAAGATGAGATGCCAAGTCTCTGGCTTGAGCTAGCATCACAGAGCAGCACACTGAGTTTCAATGGATGTTTCCTTCTGCACTTTTTCTCTCACGACAACAGGGCATGTTTGGTTTTTTCTTTGAGGGAAATAGTTTTGTTGAAGCTGTTGTTGGCCTGTGGAGAAATGTAAGCATAAGAAATGACTCCGGAAAATCTGCAGATAGAGCCATAAGAAATGATAAGAAACTGATTATTTAATGTTTCATGTTGTTTTTATAGGCAATCATTTAAGCTTTGTTAGTTCAAGGTTTAATATGTGCAATAAGTTCATTTCAATAAGTTCTGCAATAAACATTGAACCAGTCCGACCCTCGACTAGTACCTATTTTTTTATTTTGGCCCACTGTGTATTTGAGTTTGACACCCCTGATTTAAAGAATATAAAGAAAGGAGCGTCTGTCTGCTCCAATCAGGAAGTACATTCTTTGGTTGGTTTTCTGTTCAGTTTCAAAGTGCACTACAGGGATCAAATCAACAATATTTCCCAATATTACAAAGCAGCAGGACCCTAAATGTGTCGCAGGAGTTTCCCTTATGGGTCAGAAATCGTGGACATGAAAAATCCTCAGGAATCTAAAATATCAGTCAATAGTAAGACCTGCCCACATATAAAGCATCAGGAAATATAATGTGTGTAAGTATTGTAGACTTTCTTATCAGAGCACACTGAAACATGAGGTAAAAAGTATTTATTCAGCTGCAGATCAGACAGTTTCACACGTGTTTTTCGTCAGAGAAAGAGAAATATTCCACACCTTTATTCTGATGTTTAGGAGATAAAATAACAATGGTACAAAAAGTGTTTTCTGGTCATTTTAAATCACAAAGAGTTGGCCGGGGAAGATACCGGAGAACACAAAGCATGGTCGTTAATAGAGTTCAGTTTATGAGCCGCCTCCTAAAAGCAAACCATCGCTAACATCTGATTTCTTACGTACATTAAATTCTCCTTAAAACAACAATTCTAAATGAAATGAGAGCAGTGCTTACAGAAGAGAAGCTGATCTAGCTGAACACCTAGACGACAGCTACCTCTAAAGAGCGGTGCAGGGATGTCTGATTTTTGTAGTCCGACCCTGAAGGCAGCATCTTCCCGGTTCCCTCCACAAAAAGCCAATGGGAGTTTTTCATTGGATTTTGGAAAAAACGTTATGATACTTACACATTTTGATTTCTGAAGTAAAACGCTAACATTAGGAGTTAACCACAGACTTTATTTCTGGCTTACAACCAAAACACTTTCGGAAAACCATTGACTTACAGAGCAGGAAGCGCTACAATGCTAACTCATTCCTGCACAACTCTATATCCACACAGAAAACCCCTCCCTATGACCCCCCCCCCCCCTCCCCCCTGAGTCTCAGAGCAGCCCCTCCATCTCCCTCATGAACGCCTCGTACATCTGGTCCTTACTCTTCATGTTGGACTGCGCCACCGCCCCCATCTGGTTTGGGTTCACGTATCCCATGGAGGCCGCGGTCGCCTGCTGTTTCAGCCCCAAGCCTTCATCTTTCCGCCTCCCGACCCCCGACTTCTCGTGAGCGCCGGCCATCGTCATCCCTCCCCCCACCTTGTCCCTCCTCACCCTCAGAGCCGTGGGGACGAAGCGAGTGACCTCCGCCTTCATGTTGATGATCTGAGGTTTGGCTGAGATCGTGGCTCCGACACCGACCCCCGACGCCAACAGACCTCCTCCAGAAGAAGCAGAAACAGACGTGATGTTTGCTCGCTTCTCGATGGTGGCGGCGGCGTGGTGGGGGTTTCCACCTGGGGGGTTGTTGCTGGAGGGGTTGGATGTCCCTGGTGGGGGGGGGGGCATCTGCATGACCCCCCCTTGGCGCATGGACATGGGCATCGGAGGGGGCGGCGGCATGTTGTTTTGAGGACCTTCCTGGTTGGATCCGGAGCCTTTTTGCCGCTGCACGATGTTGGGAGGAGCGCTGAGCACGTTGGAGTTGAGAGGGGGAGGGAACAGGGAGAGGGGGGGGGCGAGGGGCCGGGGGGGGTCCTCCTGCTCTCGGGGGAGGAGGTGGGATACCTGTGGAAAAATAAATAAAAGCATTTATTATGTGAAGAAGAGTTACAGTTATATATCTGTTGTCAGGTACGTGAATATGTTCCTCTGAAACTAAAGTAACCAGCCTGTTTGGAAAATGTAAGAAGTAGAAAGTAAGAAGTCGTCAGAAAAATAAGTAGTGGAGTAAAGTACTGATACCAGAAACATGTCATTAAGTACAGTAACAAAGTATTTGTACTCCACTACTTCCCACCTCTGCATATCGGACATCAGTGCCTCAATTATCGGACATTAATAATACATGTTGCTGACTCGGGTCTCATCCTTCAACAAAAGAAACACAACGCAGACACCGGTTACATTTATCCACTGCACACACACATGTGCCTACCTGGTGGTGCAGGGGGTGGTAGTCTGGGAGGGGGTCCCCTGGGTGGGGGGCCAGGTGGGAGGCCAGGAGGAGGACCAGGGGGGGGGGCCTGGGGGCCGGCCGGGAGGAGGACCAGGAGGCAGGAGGCGAGGCATCGGACCCCTCATTCCTCCAGGGATACCGGGAGGCCTCAGGAAGGGAGGAGCACCTGGAGAGCACGGAACATATCAGGTGTCAATGACTCGTATTGTATAAACAGCACATACCTATCAAATATTTAAAAAAAACAAGGAGACAGACATTTGATAACACACTGCAGTCAGTAAAGACAGCATGTTCAAGAGTAGACCCTCCAACGGACATTTAATCAGGGATTACCGGGATTTAATTCAGTATAAATGTATTGTCGTGGGACCCTGTGTGTCCAAGTTCCTTAACATATATAACACCACTGTAATTATTTAACGAATTAAAAAGTCCTAAAACAAGTCAGCATTTTATCACCTCCTGTCCATTCTTCAAGATTTTACTTTTTGTTCATAAAATACCTCAGTAAAGTGTCTAAATGAGACGACTAAACGTCATCACAAAGTCATGTGACCGTGCTGTAGTTCCTTTATAGCCCAACATTAGCCACCTTTAGCTTAGCGGTGGTGACGTGAAGTCATGTGACCGTGCTGTAGTTCCTTTATAGCCCAACATTAGCTTTTTACTTCAGTGGTGTTAATATGTGGAGACTTTCCTGCTGAGCTAAACGTGTAAATATCATAAACATTGAGATTATTTTCTGCTATAATCCAAAATAACATGGAGAAATCCCGTTGGCCTTTTGTGGAGGGAACCAAGGAGATGATGCCTTCAGGGTCGAACACACAGAAATACATTATCCCTGCCCCAGAGTTGAAACTCACCTGGTGGTGGTCCTGGTGGGGGGCCAGACGGGGGACCAGGGGGCCTCATGGGAGGGTTTGGGGGAGGACCCATGGGTGGGGGCCCGCTCATCGGAGGCCCCTGCAGGTGTGGAGGTCCCTGCTGTCCCACAGCTGGAGGGGGGAGTCGAGGATTAGCCATCAGGTGAGGCTGGCTCTCCCCAGGGGGTCCTCGGTCCTCGATGTCCGAACTGTCAGATTCATCCGTGTATTCTTCCTCTACCTCCTCCTCTTCCTCGTCCTCAGGAATTGACTGACCTGGAGACAGCAAAAATGTATCGCATGTCATCAGAAAATTGTTTCTTTAAAGGTCACCTATCATGCTATTTTTAGGCAATAGCATAGGTCTCAGATATATACAAATATATAAAAAACATGTCTATGAAGTGTTTTGCTCAAAATACCAAACAGATCATTCTAGCCATGCCTCATATCCCTCTATTTCACTTCCTGTTACTAAAGTGATGATTCTGGGTCAGTAGCTATAAAAAGAAAAGAGGGGGCGGAGCTTATGCCTGCGCAGAATTCTCACAGCAGAAACTCAGCTAAATGCTGCCGTGATGAAACGCCATATCATGTTCCAAACCACATCAAGGATTCTCTCTGAAACAGTATGGAGCTTAAACTCTTTTTCTCTCTCAGGTTTACCACAAGGTGAGTTCCTTTTTATTTCCTGCTTCTTCACTCACATGCTCTCCAGTACATGTTAGCTCTGAGTGTTAGCGATGCTAATGTAAACAAAGACCATATTACTTCCAAAACACGTCTCATTTTTTCTGATAGCAACGTTTCTGATAGGGCCGTGGGTGTAAAGCCAGCCCACATTTTAGATATTACGTCATATCGGACGCAAATCTGGATCAGCTCCGTTGTAGCCCCGTTTTTAGAGATTTGGGTACGGAGGAAAAGAGAGAGGGGTATTTTTTCTGGCGCTGCGTGAGTTCCCTGACACACCGGGGACACATAATTATGTATACAAGACGTCAAAAAGTGCATTATTCATGATAGGAGACCTTGAAAGTGTGCTCGGTTAGTATGTACCGAGGGGAAAATGGTGAAATACAGTACCTGCCATCCTCAACATCATGGCCTGCAGAGGGGTGATGGCCTTCGTCTTCTTCACCAACCTCTTCTTCTTCTTCTTTCCGTCGCGGGGAGCCTCTGGAGGCAAATCAGCGAAACGTACACTGCGACCTGAAGTAACGAGACGTCAAGATTCATTAGAAGCAGACAGTATATTAGTGCAAGAAACCGAGAGTACGAACACGACCACTTTCTCGTTAAAACTGCCATTTTTTATCCTGAAAATTGCAGAAATGGCTATAAATATAAATTCAAAGGTTTTATTGTCATATGCTCATATGCTGACCCGAGCTCCTTCAACAATGCAACTAATAAAATACAAATAAAAAATAATGCAAGAAGTCTATATACATGTCAATACAATATGATATATAAAAGGATAAAGCCATTCATTTTAATTAACGTCACTTATGCTAATTGTGCGAATTGCCCTAACATATGCAGATAAGCATCGGGCAGTTTCTATGAGCTGGGGACATTTCCAAGTTCACTATGCAGACAACTAAGTGAAAATACAAAGGAAAAAGAAGGACAGACCATCTATTTCTATTTTAATAGTACGGGGCAGTAGTAGATGTATTAATAGTTGTATGAGTAGTAGTGGTGTTAGTATAAGTTGGAGTAATAGTAGTAGTAGTAGTAATAGTTGTACTAGTAGTAGTAGTAGTATAAGTAGTATTATAAAACGGACAAGTCAAATCAAGCAATCTGATTGGTTCTTAGCCGTGATATAATGAGCGTATATCACGGGTAGAATTGTAGTTACTTTTCACGAGTCAGTATCCGCGTCTGAGAAAAGCTACAAAACCGTTACAGCTGTTGCATTACGTCCGTTACGAAACTAACTAACAAAGCTTAAGATGGAAACATTTAAGGTTAACTTCGACCTCCGGGGTGGCCTCACTATGGAGGAGTGGATTGAGCAGTGCCTATCTCCAGAAAGCACCTAAAGGACGACATGCAGAGCTACGTGAAGAGCAGGTAGACCAACTGGAAAAGTACCACCATTCAAAAGCTTTCTGATGCGGGTCTTGAAACAAAGCAGAGAAATGATGACCGTTAGTGGCCACAGGTGCGAAAGCTCTCTCCAGAGCTACTGGAAGCCCAATCTCGGGGACCGGAGAAAGTGGAGCAATATTCTCGCCACGCCAAGCAACAGCCTAGAACAACCTCAGCCTATACAAGTAACCACGTAAGCCATACTACTGATGCTGGACAGTTTTTCAGTGGGTGCACAATAAACGGCAACATACACATTAATGTAAATAAATAGCCAAATAATGGATCAACGCTCTCTGTCTAATATGTTCGCTAGCTGTTAGTGTTGTTGCATAGCAACCACCTCGCACTATGTTTCGTGCAGAAGGCAACGGAGGGACTATTTTAGTTTGAACATCATTATTTACTAATAAAAATTATTTAAATTAGAGTGTGTATTTTTCTTTCATATTGCCACACTTGGTAACCGTTTTATAAAAGCAATAGCTCACTTCAGGCCGTGGTATATGCTCATTATATCACAGCTAAGGGGGTTGTCGACCCTCGTGAGCTATTGCTTAAGTATAAGTAGTAGTTGTATTAGTAGTAGTTGTATTAGTGGTAGTAGTATAAGTATTAGTAGTAGTATAAGTATTAGTAGTAGTATAAGTAGTAGTTGTATTAGTAGTTGTAGTAGTAGTAGTAGTAGTAGTAGTAGTAGTAGTAGTAGTAGTTGTGTAAGTAGTAGTAGTAGTTGTGGTAGTATTAGTAGTATAAGTAATTGTAGTAGTAGCATGTGAAGGACACTGTTCAGGAACTAGTTGATGCTCTGTATGTGATGAGTAACTTCCATTCTTGAGAGGATATAAATACATGCATCCTGATGTTGAAGCTCAAGCCGGGGACCAGTGATATCTTTCTAACAGCCCCCTCACCAGCATGCCTCTCGGTCCTGTCTCTGTCCTCGTCTCGCTCCCTCTCCTCTTCCGGTCGGTCCACGCTCATCCTCATCTCTCCGTCCCTCTCCTCCTCTCGCTCTTCCTCGCTGTCTTCCTCAGAGTCGCTGTCCTCTTCGTCCACGTCGTCTCGGTCTCTGTCGCTGCCGCTGTCGCTGTCTCGATCTCTGCCCAGCTCCATCGCCGAGTCCTTCTCCAAACCCGGAATAGAAGGCTCTGTTTCAATGAGAGGAAACAGAAATCAGAAACCACTAACATGAACAAATATTATTTAAATAAAATAAATAAAATAAATAAAATAAATAAAATAAATAAAATAAATAAAATAAATAAAATAAATAAAATAAATAAAATAAATAATAACAATAAAAGAATAACAACAATAAAGAATAATCAATAAACTGTTTTATTTCAATGTATAAACAAGGGTTTTTGCGTTACCTGTGTCTGTGTCGTAAGCCATAATATAAAATTAAAATAAATACATAATAAATATAAAATAATGCAATTATAAATAATAAAAATATATATTAATAAATAATTATTATAAATAAAAAATAATGAATAGATACAAATAAAATTAAAATAATAATAAAAATAATAAGGGTTTTTGTGTAACTTTTGTGTTTCTTTTGCTACTTTTTAAAATGTAAACAAATGAAATAATAATAAATACAAAAAAACATCATGTTTTTTTGCCACTTTTTGAAAATGTATAAATAAATAGATAAAAAGTGTTTTTGTGTTACCTGTGTCTGTGCCGTAAGCTCTTCGAGAGGGGATGCCGTACAGGGCCAGCACCTGGGGGGGCGGGGGTCCTGGGGGGGGGCCGGGGGGCTTCTTCCCCGGAGGTAACCGAGGAACACCTGGTACCGTCGACAAAATGGGTCCAGCTGACAGAGCTCCTTTTCTGAGAGGTGGTAAGAAACAGAATTCCCTTAAAACCACGATGAACATTACCTGAGGGTCTAGTGGTTCCCTTGAGCTGGTCTCCATTCTATAAGAACCCCCTCACTCATCTGTGACGATTTGCCTAAATGTTTTCTTGTAATAAACCCTTTGTAATAATTTTCTACCCAACTGCTCCTTAAATGAAAATCACTTGCATAACTCACCCTTAATGCAAATGTATTTGAACTTTAAATGTATACTACTGTAATATTAAGACTCACAAGAATTGTATTGACAGCGGCCCTTAAGTGCATCACCATTAAATGGTTGAAACCAGAACCTCCCTCCTATCACTGCTGGATTCAGAGAGTGGGATATCCACCACATGGAGCAAATAACATATTTATTACGCCTACAGAAAAATACATTTATCAAGCGATGGGCCCCTGTAATGCATCTACTAATACAGTAAGAATTGTTAACACCTTTGTATGTCACTTGTATTCTCTTTCCATCATTATTATTTGTTTATTTACTATTATTTGTTATTTTCTTTTTTTTCTTTTTCTAAAGGTAAGCCATCTTTATTAAAAACATTAAAAACATTTTAGCCCTTGAGTGGTACTCTGATAAAAAAATTAAGTTCTCACCGAAAAACCCACGATGAACTCAGTGCACGACTCTTGAAATCTAATTACCCCCAGAATCATGAGTTCAGTATTAATTGAAATAATTGTATTGACTTAAAAATGATCGTATTTCTTCCGCTAAGAAAAAACTCCGTTCCACGGCGCACCAACGGCTGGAACTGCGACAACAACAACTTTACGGCAGCACTGTCCAACTCTGTTCACAGTTTCTGATCCACTAATGCGGCTTTCATACCAGCGCTTTTCCCTTTCTAGCTCCGAGCGAGAGCTTTTCTGGTTCAGCTCCGGTTTCCCTTTTCTGCTCCCGCTCTGTTCACACCGCCCAGCTGCCGCTGCTGCGTCATGACGTCACAGTTTACATCGCTGATTTTCTCCCCAACGGCACTCACAACAACAACAACAACAACAACAACGGGCCGGGGACTGCGTCGGGTCGATGATCGTGTTGCTTTTAATCATACGAAGCCAGATTAAATTAAATAACGACTTCTCCAACCTTATACTTTTCTCCAGAGTGCCGTGGTTCATTGTTTATTAATGTGTTTCAGCGGCATTTACCGACCGCTGCAGTGCTGGCTGCTCTTCCACGGGAGTGTATTCTCCCGTTAGCTCCGGGTTAGCTCACACGGCTCTAAAGTATTAACTGTCTGACTGTCACACAAGCAGCTGATACATATCCCCAGTTCCCCTTAAGTGAATGTGTGTCAGTCTGAATTGATGCTGTTTGGCATCACAACGCTGTTATGAAAGTTTCTCTGGTATAACATGGGTGATGTTAGCATAGCAACCGAAGCTAAACTGACTATTTGCTAAGCCGTTTTCTCCAGGCACATTTTACCGGCGTATTTTTCATTATCATTCTACTTGTGATAGTCGGACATGACAACCTGTGCAGCCCATGTATTGATTCCATCCGATAGCTGCTATAATAACAAACAAAACGTCTGCCTGCTCTCCACAATGATCAATAACAGCGAACGGATGGTCAAAGTAAGGTACAAATAAACAGAATCACACGAAGCCTGGTTAGTGTTGCCTGACTTTATAAAGTGTGTTTTTTTTATAAGTGTGTGGTTGCGTTCTAGTCACTTTGCTCAGCACTACTGCTTGTAGGCAGGCATGACGAGACTCTTCAGTCGACCCATGTTCAGGGGAGGTGGGTTTAGTTTCCTGCACGCCTCGACGTAAGAGAGACGTAAGCGCCGCCGCCTCTAGCTCCGAAGCTCTTGCTTCTAGGCCGACAATTTTTTGGAGCTGGAAACTAACTGGCTTCCGGAGCTAAGAGGCAGCGCGGCTGCGGTGTGAACAGGAAAAAACGGTACTTTTCAGGGTCTAGCTCCGAGCCGGCGCTGAAAACGCGTTGGTGTGAAAGGGGCATCACAAGTCCTTAAACTCTACAGAGCTCATACCGTGTTCCTGTTACGGGCCGTCTCCACGGCAGCGTTAAAAAATCTTGAAACGCTTCTGCCCATTCACTTTGAATGGGGTGACGTCACTTTTTTTCGCTTTCGCCGAAATGCATTGTGGGCAGGCGAGCGGAGATTCTCAGGATTTTCAAGATTCAAAGTTGAACAATGTTCAACTTTTGAAGCTGAGGAGGAAGCGTCAGCCAATCAAATCCCGTGTACGCAAATCTGACAGTTCAAGCTCTAGCCAATCAAACGGCGTGTATGCTGGGAGAGCCAGACCGCAGGTCATTTCCTCATATTCCAAAAAATGGAGGAGAAATTAGCGGTAGGGAATCAATCACCCGGTGCTTTATGACCAGACCTACCGGGATATAAACCGGAGGAGCCAGGCATGGAGGGAGGTGGCAGAGACAGTGGTATGTTTTCGCCTGTTTTGGGGAGTTTATATCCAGTTTACTTCGGGCTTTTTGGCTTCGTATGTCGCGGGCGGGAGATTCATGTGATTGGTTGATCGCAAAAAAATCCCCAAGCCTCAGATACGCCCACCTCCAAGATTTTTTTAACGCTGCTGTGGAGACGGTCCGTTAGTGTTTACTTCCTCTCTGCCTTATTCTGGTGATTTATCTGACGTCCAGCGCTCCGTCTTTTACCCTCTTTTACTTTCTCTTTCTTGATGCTCCTTAGCAACGGTCATTATAGTCCTTGACAGCGGTCTGTGCTACTGTATTAACAACGTGTCACGTGTTCTGAATTGACCAATCAGAATTGAGTATTCAACTAAGCCGTGTAATAATAAATGTTGAAGGCCTACCCGAAAGGGGCGTTCTTCTTGAGGATGGAGGGCGGCTGGGCTCCGGGGAGGGGGATGTCCTGGATGTGGATGTTGGAGGGAGCGTGAGGCATGTCTGGCAGAGGGATGCTGTCCACCTCCACTGACTCTGCATTCTGGGAAACACCACAAAGCATTCGTGCATTTTGGTTAAAAGTGACATTTTTACTTTCTTAACTTATTCTAATGTTCTGTTAATTGTGTATATAGGATATACAGATTTTATACATATCTGTATACATATCTGTATATTGTATATTTGTATTCGGGATTGTTGGAAGCGTCATTTCGATCTCTCTGTCTGTACACACAAACTGAAACATTGACATTAAAGTCGACTTGACAAATGTCCCAACACATGCAGGTTAGCATCCTGCAGTTTCTATGTGCTGGGGACCGTACTATTCATTTCTATCATAAAACTTTGGGGTATTCAACATGTCTGGGTTCCCAATAGGCTGCATGAGCTGCAAACAGACTATACTCCTTCTAACCTATAAATAACTTCAATCAAATCCAATGGGTCAACATTGATCAAAATGTATATCAGCTTATTTCACTGATTAACTGTCACCAGTAATTTAAGTATTTCTGATCGCAGTCCAACCATTCACTTCAAACCCTTGACTTGTAATGAGGCGAACAGAAAACAGATCCAGAAACACACCTTGACGGAGTCGAAGTAGAGCGCCAGCTGCCCTCGTTTTGTCTCGTAATCCAGCTCCACTTTCCGCAGCTCCTTGTACGTTTCGGGGTTTTCTCTCTCGTACAGACGGACGATGCGTTCAAATGTCTCGCGGAGTTTCTTCCTCTTGTCCCGCAGAACTTTCTCATTCAGCAACGGCTGCTGGACCGGGTTGAACTCTGTTGGAGGTGTAACGAGAAACGGCCTTTTTAATAATAATAATAATAATAATAATAATAAAACATGACACTTATATAGCGCTTTTCTAAAAACTCAAAGACGCTTTGACAGAGACAAACAAAAACAGAAAATAGGGGGGTGGGCATATAAATCAGTGTTTCCTCTACCATTGTCTCGTCCAGAAATTCAAGGTGTTTAAAAAAAAAAAAGAATTCTAATAATTTTTTTTTTATTATATATATATATATATAGCACCAAATTGCAACTAATCTATATCTACTGTCACTTTTCACATGTGCTCTTTTATTAAATAAACCAAACACTTTCAATTTAAGTTGTGAGTTTAGTGTTTTTGACCCAAAGAAACACTGATGCATTAATCAATAACAATAATTCACAGCTCCTCTCTCTGCTCCAGAGGATTCAAAAATATATATATCCCAATGCCGCCACCCAACACCTATCTAAATGCTATCTAAATAAAGTATTTAATTCAAATGTACAGCATTAAATCCTAGAATGTATTTAAAAAGCTATTTATTTATAAAGCACTTTCAGTAGGGCTGGGGTCAGGTTTGCCTTGAACATCAAATGTCATGGTATTTTTACTTGACTTCATTTCATTTAACATCCCATCCACGGTGATGCCCTCATCTTAGGCATTCACAAGTGAAAGTACTTTTATAAGCATGCTTTACTGTGTTCATGTTGCAGATGGAAAAGGTGGATTCAACTTGACTGACAGGAAAGGCGTCCCTTTTGCTTCTAATTTGACAGTGAAATCACTTTTGATAGTTGTTAGTGAATGTACTCTTCCAGTATCAGAGTAACATGATAACAAAGGTATCCCAACTGTAGCTGTGTTCATGACAGGATGTATGATTACCTAGAAGAGCATCAGGACTGTTTGAGGCATATGATAGCTATGTGATTAACATGATGATTCAGCCTCTATGGAGATAGACATATGACAAGCATGCTCATTTCTGACGTGGAGCTAATCTGAAGTAAACATTGAATACTGCTTTCTATTCCTCCATCTTGTGACTGTGTAACTCCCTCTCTTGGATATCAGCATGTGAAGGACACTGTTCAGGAACTAGTTGATGCTCTGTATGTGATGACTACTTCCATTCTGGAGAGGATCAGAGATACATGGATCCTGAGATTGAAGCTCAAGCCAGTGATATCTTTCTAACAATAGTAAACATGTATACAGCAAGTTATAACAGCACTTCCTCAGCAATATAAAAGTCTCTCCCCCTCACCCATCTCATCCAGCTTCTCCATGTCTTTGATGATTTGTCGGGGGTCTTTCATCTTCAGCACCGCCGCTCTCACCATCATCCTCTGCTTCTTGTTCTAGAAGGAGTAATTGAAAATGTATTTTCTTTAGTTATTTTATTTAAGAAAGGACAATGCACATTAGTTAACATGAGCACTTGAGTCCGTCGTGGAAATGTTCCAGACTTAACAAACATACAAGAGCTCATATAGCGGAGTCAAAATCAATCAAATGAGCACAACTAAAACACACAGGCAGCACATCAACACACACATATGGACAATTAACGCGCATTGTAAAATAACAAAGACCATGGCATGTGTGAGTGTGTGTGTGAGCGAGTGAGTGTCAGTGAGTGTGTGTGTGTGTGTCTGTGTGAGTGCGTGAGTGAGTGAGTGTGTGTGTGTGTGAGTGTGTGAGCTTCCCTAGAGCAAGTGGTGCTGCTCTGCATGAATGGGTGAATGACTCGTAGTTTGTAAAGCTTTTTGAGGGGTCAAAGAGACCTGATAAAGAGATGTATAAGTACAGTCCACGTATATGCAATATGTTCTGCTAATGTATTATTACTACCGGCTGCTCCTCCTAGTCTGTCCATCTGTTACTGTAACAGGAATTGTTTTGAAACTATGTGCAATAATGTTATATACACACCACACTTCATTCTACACTGATTTTATTGTATAAATACTGCTGCTTCTTACTCTCTACTTGAATGTGGACTTCTGTACATTATAATATATTTTTTATTTTAAGTACTATGTGCATGTCTTTTTGAATAACAGTGTTCTGTATTCTTCATCTCTCTCTCTCTATACTTTGCTGTAACAACGTACATTTCCCCTTTGTGGGACGAATAGAGGAATTCTGATTATTACTAACCCATAAGCAGTGAAAAAAACTAGGATGCCGAGACAATTCGGATATTAAGGTTATAATCAATGTAATCATCGAGGAACGTTAGTGTTGTGTTTAAGATGAACGAGTAGGTAAGGGTGTCTGATGTTTACCTTTTTTAACTCCCGTTTCCTGGCCTCCTTTCCTGTAAAGAGGGGGTAGAAAACAAGCAGTTATCATTTTGACAACAATAGATATTGACTTTTTATTTTATTATATATGTTGCATTGTTGGAGGAGCTCAGGTCAGAAGAGTTTCAGTGCCATTTCTACTCTGTAGCTTTGAGCATATGACAATAAAACCTTTGAAATTGAATTTGTCTTCAGTTCTTGCTTGTGGGTCGGTACTTACTGGCCTGGTCGGTGGGATTCATGAACTTCCCACTCTTGGTGGAGGAGGTCGAGCGTCGCCCCATTGTGTCGCTGCGTCTCCTTCACCTGCAGAGAGAAAGCCCCAACGATGGTGAACGGAGAAGAAAAAAACAGAAACGCTATGCACATTCTACATAGACTCTTCTTGCACTATTTCCATTCTATTGTATCTGTTTTGTGGTTTGAAGGCCAAAGATTCATGAGGGAAGTCTGAAAACAGGTTGCATCTCACACGTGTATTTATACTACAATAAGCAGTATTTATTTGACAGTACAGTGTTTAATTTTACATTATGTTCTTGTTTTATCTAATTATATTTGCATGTATATAGACTCCTGCATTAACTTGGTCACCTGCAACCTTCTCTGCAACATTTAGCTTATTGTATTTACATTTTCTGACATGTATTATAGTTTACTTCATTTGCATTACTTGCACATTGGTCTTGCAAGATAATCTGCACTATTGCATGTCTACTGAGTTATATATTTGTATGTCTTATATGTATTTATGTTGCATTGTTGGAGGAGCCTGGGACTTAAGATGCTCCTTCCCATCACTTCACTGTAGCTGTGCATATGACAATAAAGCTTTTGAATCTTGAATCTGAAAGTAATGGTTAGCATCTGTTAGCTAGCAAGTTGACAGTAAACGTATGGCGAACACACAAGCTAAGTCCCTCTCATTTATATCATTATCTTACATACAATATAGTAAAATACAGCAGGTGTTTAAAACCAGCTTCCAGACATTATGAAGTCAGAATAATTATATAATATCTAACTCTTTGCGGGTTCTGCAGCATTAGGAGCTACATGCTAACTGTTAGCTTTGGGCCGCGTTGGCATCGATAGCAGAAATAAATACTTTACCTTTTAATAAAGAAAAAAATCCCTTAAGAGCACAAAGCCCCGCACGCGCTGCTCAGCGTATCAGAAGTAAATAAAGACACGTGTTGATTCTGAAAGAGGTATCCAAAGTCTTCTATATGCAGCCGTTAGCCATCCGCCATGTTTACTGAGCGAGAGAGAGACCGGAAGTGGGTCATTTCACGTCATCAAAACTCGTCGCTATGGTAGCGAGTTTTTATCGCTTTTTAATATTACAATATTTCTTACAGGGAATATAGAAAGTATACATTCCTATTTTAAAAAAAATATGTATTGTAACATTAATTAAATAATAAAATGAATTAAAAGGAGGTTTCCTGAGAAGATTTCCCGATAGCAACGGTGGATATTAGCAGAGGTGTAAAGTAACTTTACTCAAGTACACGTTTGAGGTACTTGTACTTTACTTGAGTATTTCAATTGTATGCTACTGTGTACTTTTCCTCCACTACATGTATTTAATACCATTAGTTACTTCACAGATCTGGATGAATGATGTGAAATATAATCAAGTGTTAAATAAGACTTTAGTTCCACCTGGAGTAAATTCACAAGCTACCCTGCATTATACAAAGTCATTCAAACTAGCTGCACCTTTACCAGCTTTGAGAACACTTTCATGATCAATCATTATAAAACATATCATATATATTATTCTGAAATGGACCAATCTGCACAATGACTACTTTTACTGTCGCTACTTTCACTATATTTTGATGATCATACTTTTATACTTTTACTTGAGGAACATTTTGAATGCAGGACTTTGACTGTAACAGAGTATTCCTACACTCTGGTACTTCTACTTTTACTCAAGTACAAGATCTGAGTACTTCTACTTTTACTAAAGTACAAGATCTGAGTACTTCTTCTTTTACTAAAGTACAAGATCTGAGTACTTTTATTCAGTAATACAGTATATTGCCATGACACTCCGATACAGCAGGAGGCGGTATGCACCTTACAACTTGGTTTGCTTCCCGCCAGAATAAACAAAGAAGAAGATGAAAAACCAGGGAACTTCCGCATTGGCTTCACTTTTCAGACCCGGAGCAGATCTTCTTCTTCTTATTGTCTGGAATTTATTTCGGTTACAAAATGAGTTGTTCATCCGTGGGATGTAATAATAGATCCTCTAAGCGTTCGGGTGTTAGTTTTTTCCGGTAAGATTCTTTATTTTGTTTCAGCTGGCTTTCGATGGCATGAAAAATGAGGCCGAGCTAACCAAGCTAGCTAGCTGATGACGTCAGAGTTTGTAATTAACATTATTTTTTTATTTTAATGACATTTTCTGCAAACTATATGCATCAAAGCTGTATTGCTGCCCTTCAGTGATGGGATATAAGGAAGTATATGTGCTCAATTTCTGTAATCAACTCTTCATTGGTTTCTCTATTCATATTAATCAGTCAGAGGTGGAAGAACTGAAGAAGTACTCAGATCTGTACTTGAGTAAAAGTAGAAGTACTCAGATCTGTACTTGAGTAAAAGTAGAAGTACTCAGGTCTTGTACTTGAGTGAAAGTAGAAGTACTCAGATCTTGTACTTGAGTAAAAGTAGAAGTACCAGAGTGTAGGAATACTCTGTTTCAGTAAAAGTCCTGCATTCAAAATGTTCCTCAAGTAAAAGTAGAAAGTATTATCATCAAAATATAGTGAAAGTAGTGACAGTAAAAGTAGTGATTGTGCAGATTGGTCCATTTCAGAATAATATATATGATATGTTTTATAATGATTGATCATTAAAGTGTTCTCAAAGCTGGTAAAGGTGCAGCTAGTTTGAATGACTGTGTATACTGCAGGGTAGCTTGTGAATTTGAATATTGATTATTTTATCAGCCTTTCCCTGATAAATAGTGCTAATTTATTTCACTTGAGTGTCTTATTGGTTTAATTTGTTTATATAAGTGTCATTCTATAAAGTAAAGTCTGTTTGATTCTCTCTCTTTTTGTCCTGATCCATTTCTATAAAACCTGTCTGAAAATGAGCTGATCAGATTTTGGCCACTTTATGATGTCATAACGATGTTTTGGCTTGTGTAACCATTAGCCAATCAGCAACCAAGGTAACCACCCCCCCCCCCCACACCTTATCACCTGAATCCCCTCTGATGCCCCTTTCACACCAACGCGGTTCCCGTTCTAGCTCCGAGCTTTTCTGGTTCGGAACCGGTTTTTCTTTTCAGCCCTCGTTTTGTTCACACCGCCCAGCGCCCGACTGGTGCTGCTGCTGCTACGTCATGACGTCACCGTTTACGTCGCTGATTTTCTCCCCAACGGCGTCGGGTCGATGATCGTGTTGCTTTTAATAATACGAAGCCAGATTAAATTAAATAACTACTTCTCAACCCTTGTACTTTTCTCCAGAGTGCCGTGGTTCATTGTTTATTAATGTGTTTCAGCGTCATTTACCGACCGCTGCAGTGCTGCCCGCTGTTTGGCATCACAACGCTGTTATGAAAGTTTCTCTGGTATAAAATGGGTGATGTTGGCATAGCAACCTAACCTAAACTGACTATCTTGACTACTTGTTGCTATCCTATTGTGGCATAAGCCGGCACATTTTACCGGCATATTTTTCATTATGATTCTACTTGTGATAGTCGGACATGACAACCTGTGCAGCCCATGTATTGATTCCATCCGATAGCTGCTATAATAACAAACAAAACGTCTGCCTTCTCTCCACAATGATCAATAACAGCGAACGGATGGTCAAAGTAAGGTACAAATAAACAGAATCACACGAAGCCTGGTTAGTGTTGCCTGACTTTATAAAGTGTGTTTTTTTTAATAAGTGTGTGGTTGCCTTCTAGTCACTTCGCTCAGCGCTACTGCTTGTTACAACTTTCATTTGCCATGCTCGCCATAAACTGTTATTATGGCTCAGGTTGATCCCGCCTCCGCCTCCGACGTAAGCGTGACGTATGCGGTTCTTGCTTCTAGACCGACCATTTTTTCAGAGACAGGTTCTGTATATATCTGAGACCTGTAATATATTGATGAAAGACAGTATAATAGGGGACCTTTAATGTAAAGAACACATACATCATAAATTGTCAAATAAAAACAAAATCCTGTGATAAAAATTTGAATACTTTATTCATCCCTTTATTTGAGTTTCGTGACAGTTAAGAATAAAATAAAATAAATTGTTCGTAAATAAAAAACATGTATTTTACAATATATACGATAGTGTATATAAGTACATAATTAATGATACCGACTTGCTCTGTGTTTTCCGGCAGGGCAACAGGAGGCTGAAGCCCACCGCGGTGCCGACCATTTTCACCTTTGAAGGCGAGAAGAAAAGAAAGGAAGTGAAGCCGAGGTCTCTTCGTCTGAGCGAGGATGCACCTCACCGTCCTGCTGCTTCACCTTCAACACAAAACAGAGTCAAGGAGCCAGTCGCTGTGGTCAAGGACGCATCTGAGGATTTGATCGAGGGAACGACAAGCAGAGGGTCCCAAACATCTCCTCCTCGCACCCCCAAAATACAGGAGCAAATGTCAGTGTGGAGAGATCACTGCTACTTCATCTCAGAGTCCCCCAAAACTCTGAAGCGCAGAGCAGAGGCGGCGCAGCAACAGCTCGCTGTGGCTCACAAGAAGATGAAGATAAAGGGTCAGCAGACGAGGAGAATGAGGTCCAGCCTCCTGGCGCTGAAGACGAAGGACACGGCGCTCAGGACCAGGTTGAAGGAAGTGGAAAAAGCCCTCGCTGCATTCAGGAAGTAGAGGAGGTTCTGTGTTGAAAAGTTCAGTTGGGTTAGGGTTAACTGATTAAAATGAGCCAAATCTGAATCGGATTTATTGGCAAGTACGTTTGACACTTACAAGGAATTTGTTTTGGTGCATAAATTAAGACGATAATTTTCTCAGGATTCGAAAATGTTCAGGATTTTTTTCAATTTTATTCTGACTTTTTCCAGAGAAATTTGGAAATGTGACAAGATTTTGAGATCTGACCAAAAGTAGTTATTTTATTATTTCTAAACAAAAATTCTGAGAATAAAATTAAATCAATTTTTTTCTCAGGATTCTGAGATTTTCAGAAATACTTTTCAGAACAAAAAAAATAGCAACTTTTGGTCAGATCTCAAAATATTTTCTAATTTATAAATTGTATTCTGACCAAAAGTTTAAAAAAAAGAAAAATAATTGAGTTCTGAGATGAAAGTCAGAAATCTGAGAAAAAAAAAACTTTTTCAGAAATAAATAAATTAGTTTTTCTTCTAAGAAGTGTTGAAACATGTTGAAGTATTAAAGTTAAGGTATTCAAACCCTTACTCACCCAAAAAAAGTCCAGAGTTAAGGATGGTTAACTGATTAAAATGAGCCAAATCTGAATCAGATTTATTGGCAAGTTTTACAAATAAAAATAACTTTTCAGAACTAAAAAAACAGCAACTTTGAGTCAGATCGCAAAATCTCGTGTCCTGAATCCTCCTCCGTAACATAACAAGAATGAAGACACACACGCACACACACGCACACACACCTACTGGCTGTGCAATTATTTTCCAAAGTAGAAGAAAGACTAACAAAGTAGCTGTTATCAAAACCCACTGTAACTACACAAAAAACAACCATTTTTAAAACTTTTTTTTTTTAAAACGACAACAATTTTTTTTCTAAATTGTTTTAAAAGTTAGTTTTCTGTAGTCTTTTGTTAAAAAATATATATATTAAAAAAGATTATAAATATTTGTAAAACTATAACACTACAAAATAAAGTCAAATAGATAAATCATATTGATATAAAAAAAAATGAATACAGTAAAATATGAAAAAAATATTAATAAAATCACAATAATAATAATTCCCCAAAAATGTAAATTCTCTACATTTGAAGGATCTCCAGCGCTTCCTTTCTCTTCTCCCTCAGCAACCTTTACAAAAGAAAGGAGAACATGTTTTTTTCACTAACATCCACTGCAGAAGTTCAATGGTTCTCTATAAGAAGTCCTTTTTAGGATGTGTTGATGGTTTTAGACGGTTATCAGTTCATGAATTGTTCAGCATTGAGTTTGTCACTGTACCCATTTTCTGTTACAAATAAAGTTATTTAAAAATGACATCATGTGCAGAGGGCTTTTCTTAGCACTGCAGTTCAATCAGGAGAGACGGTGTTGATGTAAGAACACATATTTATTGCCAGGAATACACAA